CTAGAAACGTGTTAGCAGAAGCCTCAGGCACCTTCCAGGCAGCCACACAAACCTCAGCAGCTTTAACATTTGAAAGAGACCTGGTAAAGTCCATGAGGAGTGGCACCAATAAGGAGAGTGGCAACAAGGTAAGGCCAAGAGGGGTGGGAAGGCAAAAACAAACCCCAGAATCCCAGAATGTTCAGAGCTGGAAGGACCTTGAGGATCACCAATCCAACTCCTGCCCTTCACAGGACATCCCTGACAATCACACCCTGTGTGACGGCAAATATCAACCCTAAAACATCACTTGCTCGTGGAAGCAACTCAGTAGGGATGGCCTTAATCCAGTGCCATCGTGCACCTCCCACCTTCCCACCACCCCTCCCTGGTTTGCTCTGCTCCCTCTGCCTGCTACAGACAACGCTGTGTACTTACGGCTGGGTGAGGTCTCGGGTGATGAAGTCTGAACTCTTGAAGAGGAGGAAGATGTCACTGAGAGCTTTACACTTCAGGGAGCTGTTCATTGCTATCCAGTAGGCATCCTGAACAAACAAGAGATTACCCAGAGACGCACCTTTACTAGCAGGAAGGAGCACAAGCTGCACATCCACCTAAATATTATGCAACATTTGAAATACAAGCAGAAAATTGTCATTTAATTTTGAGGAAAACTTCATTAGCTGTTACAGGAGACACAATAGTTACTGTTTTTCTTATGAATACTCTGCAAGAAGCAGAGTAAATTCATGAAAATCCCTAAGCTTTTGCCTTACTGCCTCCATGAACCTTCCTGAAACGCTGCACCAAACAGCTTCCCTTGAGAGTGTGACACAACAGCATTTGGGTGCACCTCTCCTGTGGTGAGTTTGAGTACCTGAAAATAACTAGGTGGAAGTTTATTGCTTTTTGAAGAGCTTTTTTCCAAATTCCTATTGGAGAGAGGATTTCTTAATCTGAGTTCATTTCCTTCTTTTGGCGTTTGCACAAACTCAGATAACTTGCAGCAATTAGTCTTCTGTTTGTCCAAATTAATTTGTGTCTTAGAAATTTAATTATAATCTCCTATTTCCTAAGGAGTAGAAATCCTTCTTTGACCCTTCTGAATTTTGGAGATCTTCTTTCATTTGGATGTCCACACTTTGTTTCTCTATTCCAAGGTTTTTCATCTCTCTCAGGCAAAGGTTCTAACCAGCATCCTAAACGAGAGGCCTGAGCCTCCCACTGTTACCTGTGCCCAGACACAGCCTCAGGTGAGACAGTCAGTGCTGCCTCGCATCAGCCTCCCCAAACATGCACCACCACCCTCCAGCTCTCCCCAGCAGAGCAGTTTGCTGTACCACACTGCACCAATCCCATCACCTCTCCCTTCAGCAGAGCCACATCCCCTTCCCCTTTCCAGTGCCTTCGGATAAAACAAACAAAACCAGTTCCTGATGGGAACACCTCTTACAAGTTTTGGGAGTCAATTCTTACCCTTGGAGCACTCCAGTTAAGTTTGGGAAAAACACTGCCACCCAAGGAACTTATCGCTTCCTGAACTTTGGCCGCAAACTCAGGAAATTCTGGTGCCTGAACAGAGAACAACAACAACAACAACGTCAGTTCCAACACATTCAATAGGAACAACCTTCTAAACACCACCAGAAATCCATATTGCTCAAGGAATAAACACGACCGGAGACAGGAACAAGAACCCCACCAGAATAATGCGTTTGTGGAAACATGCAGCGGGTCCTG